CCTTCCTCCTCCTCCTCCACCTCATCCTTCCCCCTCCTCCCCCTCCTCGCCCCTCCCCCCACCCCCTCCTCCCTTCACTCCACCGCCCCTCTCCCCCTCCCCCCGCCTCTGCAGACTGTCAGCGCGGAGCAGACAGAGCGCGCCGTGCAGCTCTCGCTGTGGCTGGAGGAGGCGGGAAACGATGACGACGAGACGACGACGACGGCGGCGGCGACGACGACGACGAATGAGGCGGAGCGCGAGCTAGCGATCGCGATCGGCGAGAGGGACGCGGCGCTGCGGCGGGAGGCGGGGCTGAAGGCGGAGAACGCGCAGCTGAGGAAGGAGGCGCAGGGGGCGCAGCTGCTGCGGAGGGAGGAGCAGGCGCGCCTTCAGGCGGAAAATGCGCAGCTGAGGGCGGAGACGGCGGAAAAGAAGAAGACGAAGAAGAAGGAGAAAAAGGAGAAGAAGGAGAAGGGGGCGGCGGCGAAGGCGAAGGCGGCGGCGAAGGCGGCGAAGGCCAAGGCGGCGCGCGCCGCGGCGAAAGCGCCAGCGGCGGCGAAGGCGCCGCCAGCGCCGCCAGCGGCGCCAGCGGCGGCGAAGGCGCAAATGCCGCCGCCGTCGACTTCGCCTCCGCGGTGAGGCCGCGCGCCCGCAAGCGCGGAGCGCGCCGCGCGCCCGCAAGCGCGAAAACAAAAGACCAGCGATCGTAATCGCTATCCCCTCGTCCTCTTCCCCCCACCCCGCCCTCCCCCAAGCGATCACCATCGCTTCTCTTCCTCCTTCCCGTCCTCATCCTCCTCCTTCCAAGCGATCGACATCGCTTCACCTCCCCCAGCGATCGCCATCGCTTCTCCTCCTCCTCCTCCTCCTCCTCCTCCTCCTCCTCCAAGCGATCGCCATCGCTACCTTCCTCATCCCCCTCCTCCTCACCCAAGCGATCGCCATCGCTTCTCCTCCTCCTCCCCATCCAAGCGATCGACATCGCTACCTTCCCCATCCCCCTCCTCCCCACCCAAGCGATCGCCATCGCTACCGCGGCGAGCACCCACCAGGCGGCGCCGCGACGAGCTCCAGGTCGATGGGCAAATCCCAAATCCTGAAAAACCTCTTCAAATCCAGGTAACCTCCCCAAATCCAGAAAACCTCACCAAATCCAAAAAAAGATTCCCCCAAATCCGAAAATCGTTCCTGAAAACTACATCCACCTCCTCCTCCTCATCCCTCCTCCCCCTCCTCCTCCTCCTCCTCGTCCTCATCCTCGCCCTCCTTCTCGTCCTCTTCTGCGTGGGGGCCGCGGGCCGCGACGTCCCTGCGGCGCGGCGGGCGGGCGCGCGGCGGGAGGGGAAGAGAAGCGAAGGAGGGATGGAAGGAAGTTATAAGTTACTTATAAGTAACATATATGTTACTTATAAATATTGCATCTCAGCACGGGTAAGTAACTTAGCGGTAGTTATAAGTATCTTCCAGCGTCATTAATAACCAGCGAAATACTTATAACTAACCTAAGTATAGTTATGCGACAAGACAAATACTTAAGGGCACATAGAAATAGTTAGAAATACTTAGGTACTTATCCCTTGCTATAAGTATCTTATACCTCGCTGTACCTATGGTGCAACTAGCATAAGAACCACCATTCTCGAAGCGAGGCGGTCGCGCGTCGCGCGCGGCGGTCCCGGGCTGGAGAGGCGCCCCTCTCCCAGGGCGGCGCCGCGCCAGGGCGCGGCGACAGCCGCGCGTCGCGCACATCGGGTCGCGGCGTGCGGAGGTGGGTCGCCTCTGGGCGGGCGGGCCCCTCGGCCCGCGCGAGCGTGGCGCGTGTCCCGCGCACCGCGGCTGCTCTGCGCGGTGCGCGTGCGTGTGCGTGTGCGTGTGCTTGTGCTTGTGCTCGTGTGTGTGTGTGTGTGTGTGGGTGTGTGCGGCTCTGTCCTCCTGCTGCTGCTGCTGCTGCTGCTGCTGCTGCTGCTGCTGCTGCTGCTGCTGCTGCTGCTCCTCCTCCCGCGTGCTGCCTCGTCCCCGCGCGTGTTCTGTGCTGTGCAGTCTCCGAAGGAGCGCCCAGTGGCGTCGTCCCACAGCCCTGTCTTGCGACGCTCGGGCTGCGCGACGAACACAGGCGCGGCGGCCAGAGACAGTCAGACAGCTCGTCGTCGTCGTCGTCGTCGTCGTCGTCGTCGTCGTCGTCGTCGTCGTCGTCGTCGTCGTCGTCGTCGTCGTCGTCCACTCCCTCCACCTCCTCTGCACCCGTTGAGTCCAAACCACCACCTCCTGCCTCCTCCTCGTCCTCCTCGTCCTCCTCATCCTCGTCGTCCTCCTCGTCCTCCTTGTCCTCCTCGTCCTCCTCCTCCTCCTCCTCGTCTTCCTCGTCCTCCTCGTCCTCCCCAGTCCTCGTCCTCCTCCTCGTCCTCCTCGTCCTCCTCAGTCCTCCTCGTCCTCGTCCTCCTCGTCCTCCTCGTCCTCCTCGCCCTCCTCGTCCCCCTCGTCCTCCTCCTGCCTCCTCGTCCTCCTCGTCCTCCTCCTGCCTCCTCGTCCTCCTCGTCCTCCTCCTGCCTCCTCGTCCTCCTCGCCCTCCTCAGTCCCTCCTGCGGCCCCAGCGGCGCCCCGCAGCGGCGCCCCGCGCGCGGGCCCCGCCGCCATGGGGCCGTTCCGCCCGGGCGGCCGGGCCGTGCCGGCGCGGCCGAGGGCGGGCGCTGCCGCGGGGCGGGGCTCTCGCCGTCGAGTCCTCCGGTTCGGATCGAGTCGAGTCGAGTCGGGGGCCCACAAATATACACCACCACCGCCACCTCCCTCCCCCCCCCCCTCCATCTCGCGGGAGAGAGGAGAGAGAAGGGATCGGCGTGGTGGTGCATATTCTTTGGGCCCCCATCCGATCCGATTCGACTTGAGATTCCGATCTGGATTCCGATATGGCTCTCGCTTCGGGTCCTCCGATTCGGATCGAGTCGACTTCGATGGCTTCCGATTCCGATCCAGTTCGACTCGAGATTCCGGAGGGGAGAAAACACACAGACACAATGAATCGTCGATTCCCCAGAAAATGTGGGAAACTATGGGAAGTGGGGGGGAAGACAAAAACCCAGGAAATATGGGGAAATATGGGGAATCCTGTTATTTGTGTGTATTCATTTGTGTGTCCCAAGGCCCCTTCCGATTTCTGAATGGACCAGCTTGCCGATCTTCGCCGATTCGGCTCCTCCCGACCTGGCTGCCGATTTCCGCCGATCCGATTCATTCTGATCGCCGATCCGGTTTGCCGATCCGATTCTGGGCTCGCCTGGCATGGCATCGGGCTTGCTCTTCGTCACCACCAGAAGCATCCCAACCACTGCTGGGACCCCGGACATGCTCGTGCCAAAGATTTACAGCCAGAGTCCAGTATCCCCAAATAGCATGTTTTGAGCCAAGGTGGGTCCTAAGAGTGTTCGCGCGTTCTCCTGATCCGCTTGCGCCTTTGGCGTCGTCGTCTAGCTTTTCGTGATCGCCGTCGTTGTCGTCGTCGTCGTCGTCCTCCTCCTCCTCCTCCTCCTCCTCCTCCTCCTCCTTCTCCTCCTCCCTCCTCCTCCTCCTCCTCCCTCCACATCCACGCAACTCTCCTTCCTCCCCCTTTCCACTACATCCTCCTCCTCCTCCTCCTCCTCCTCCTCCTCCTCCTCCTCCTCCTCCTCCTGATCCTCCTCCTCCCTCCTCCTCTTCCTCCTCCTCCTCCTCCTCCTCCTCCTCCTCCTCCTCCTCCCCCTCCTCCTCCCCCTCTCTCCTCCTCCTCCTCCTCTCTCCTCCTCCTCCTCCTCCTCCTCCTCCTCCTCCTCCTCCTCCTCCTCCTCCTCCTCCTCCTCCTCCTCCTCCTCCTCCTCCTCCTCCACCTCCTCCTTCTTTCCTTCTCCTCCTCCTCCTCCTCTTCCTCCTCCTCCTCCTCCTCCTCCTCCTCCTCCTCCTCCTCCTCCTCCTCCTCCTCCTCCCCCTCCTCCTGTACCTCCTCCTCCTCTCCCTCGTCCCGCATCCACGTCCAGGCGGCCGGGGCCTCCAGGGTCCCCAGAGAGCCGTGCGGCGAGGGCCTGTGCGGTGAGGTCTTCGAGCATTTCGAGGCCACCGCAGGCCACCCGCCAGGGCGCGAAGCGAGCCGCGCTTCGCGCGCCGCGGCCTGGGCCGGAGCGAACGCCCTTCTCCAGGGGCGGCGGCGCAAGGTCCCTGGGGGCGCAAGGACGGCCGCGCGGCGCGCCTCGCGCGACGCAGTGCCCTGGCATCGCTCGGACGTGTGCATTCTTTTCCATTTTTTTCTCGGCGAGGACCCTGGAGGAGCACCCTGGATCATCGAGCAAACAAAAACACGCACGAAACCGAAAAATGCACAGGGAGTGGACGTCCGAGCGATGGCAAGGTGCGCGAAGCCAGGGGACCCACTTCTGAGACCCCAGGGGCTCCCGGAGGCCCTCAAGGGGGCCCTCCTCGGAGGCCTCGAGACGGGGGTCAAGGCAAACGGGGGTCAGCCAGAGCGCCGGCTCTTGCAGGATTCTGCAGGACCAGAGCGCATTGACCCGGGTTTGGGTGCAGGATCCTGCATGATCTTGCAAGGCCTGACCCGGGTGCGTCCCCGACCTTCCAGCTTAGCTGGCTTCGGCGGGCCCTCTGGAGGAGGCTCCGCCGCCGCGGCAAGAGTCCTTCAGGGCGGGGCTGGGGCGCGGGTGCCTCGTCTCGGAGCGTTCCCGCAGTCTCTCGAAGCGTTCTGGGACGGAAGGTGCTGGTCACGGTCGGGGTCGGTCAGCCCGCGCCCGAGATTAAGCCCGGTTTGGTGTTGCTTTTGGCTTCGTCTCCAAGAAATTCGATGGCGATGTATTGATTTTTCATCCATCCGCGGCCAGTGGTCTCGACCACTCCTCCCAGGCCACGTGTTTGCTGTCCCGCGTCCATTCGGGATGGCCCTGGGCCCCGAAGGGGGCCCCAGGAGGCCGAAATCGAGGAGGCTTCAACACGCCAATCCGCCCGAAGTCGGGGCACCCCCGGCGGCCCTCCGGAGCCGACCCCAGGCGGCGCCGGGCACGGTGCTGGCCGCGGCGTTGGCGGCGACGCTGGCCGCGGCCCCGCTCCCCACGCGCCTGGCGGCGCCGTGCTCCCTGGGGCGCGTGGAAGGCTCCACGGCGGCAAGCCCGCGGGGAAGGGGAGCCACGCTGCGGAGGGGGGGGGCAGGGAGGAGGGGAGGGAGAGGCGGGTGGGGGGGGAGAAGGGGAGTACGAGGCGGAGGGACAGGGGATAGAGGCGGCAGAGGGGGAGGAGGAGGGAGGGAGGGGGGATGGACGGGACGGACGGACGGGGAGGGAGGGGAGAGGAGAGGAGGAGAGGAGGAGGAGGAGGGGAGGAGGAGGAGAGGAGGAGGAGGAGGAGGGAGGAGGAGGAGAGGCGGAGGCGGAGGCGCGGAGGCGGAGGCGGAGGCGGAGGCGGAGGCGGAGGCGGAGGCGGAGGCGGAGGCGGAGGCGGAGGCGGAGGCGAGGCGGAGGCGAGGCGGAGGCGGAGGCGGAGGCGGAGGCGAGCGGAGCGGAGGCGGAGCGAGGCGGAGGCGGAGGCGGAGGCGGAGCGGAGGCGAGGCGGAGGCGGAGCGGAGGCGGAGGCGGAGGCGGGGCGGAGGCGGAGGCGGAGGCGGAGGCGGAGGAGGAGGAGGAGGAGGAGGAGGAGGAAGAAGAAGAAGAAGAAGAATAAGAAGAAACATAATACGAAGAATAATAAGAAGACGAATAAGAAGAATAATAATAATAAGAAGAAGAATAATAATAATAATAGTAATAATAAGAAGAATAAGTGGAGGAGGAGGAGGAGGAGGAGGAGAAGGACGGGGGGGGGGAGAATGGGGACGGTAGGGGGGATGGAAAAGGGGATCGAAGGGGAGGCGTTGTGGCGGAGGATCTGGAGCGGCAAGTTGTGGGAGGATGTGCAGGAGCGTGAAAGGAACTCCTCCCCCCTCGTGCTACATACGTCGTCGTCGTCCTCCTCCTCCTCCTCATCATCATCCATTATTTTCCCTTGTAAGCAACTCCTCCCTATCGTACCCCCAGACGTGTCGATAGGGCGGGTTGGGCGTTGCGTTTGAGAATTCCTCACCATCTTGCAACAGCCTAGTTTCAATGATGGAGGGCTGTCCTTTCTTCCCCAAACAGCTTCCTGAACGGGGGGGCTGCTGTAGTAGAAGCTAACTCTGGGCGAGGGGAAGGGGAGCAGAGACATCCTAAAATAAAGTTGGTGCTCCAGGCCGTTTCGCTTGAGACATCATCACACCTCTCGTTTCTGAGTTGTCTGGGATTGGCCGTTTCCCTTGAGACATCCTCGAAAGTCTTGATTCCGGGACGCCGCGCGCGAGGTGTTCTGGGTTGTTTTGCCCGAGACGTCTTCCAAAGTTTGTGCTCTGGGACGCCGCGCGCGAGGTGGTCCGGGCCGTTTCGCCACAGACATCTTCGAAACGGTGGTCCGAACTGTTTCGCCTGAGACATCCTCGAAATTGTAAGCCCCGAGATGCCGCGCGCGAGGTGGTCCGGTTTATCTCGCCTGAGACATCCTCGTAGATTTGGCCTCGGAGATGCTGCGCACGAGTTTCGCCTGAGACATCCTCGCATTTCGGGGCTCCGGGATGCTGCGCGCGAGGTGGTCCAGCCCGTTTCGCCTCAGACATCCGCGCAACTCTGCGCTCCGAGCTTCCGCGCGCGAGGTAGTCCAGCGCGTTTCGCTTGAGACATCCTCGCAACTCTGAGCTCCGAGCTGCGCGCCTTTCGTCTGAGACATCCTCGGACCCCTCAGCTCCGAGATGCTTCGCCTGAGGTGGTCAAGCTCGTTTCGCCTGTGACATCCTTGCAACTGGAGCTCGGACAAAAACGTGCGAAAGGGTGCGTGGCCCGTCTCGCTTGAAATCTCCTTGCAATTCGGGGCTCGGAGATGCTGCGGGCGAGGTGGTATCGCCCGTTTCGCCTGAGACATCCTCGAAACTCTGGGTTCCGAGAGGGAGGAGAAAGGAAGGAGGAGGGGTCAGACCCGAACGAGCCGTTCGGTCACAATTCGGTTGTCGAACTGGTGCTCTGGGAGGGGTCTGGGC